CACTTCCTGAGCCGTCATCAGAGCGTTGACTTTGCTCTCGAAATCATGCATCTTCTTATCCTCTTCCTCGCTTTTCTTCAAGTAGATCTATGGAGGTTGAGTGCATGACTTGGTCGGACCGCTTCCGGAGTTGTCTTTATCTGGAGGAGGATCGTCAAAGATAGTCTCATCCTCTTCATTACGTCGACTGGATTCCACCTTCTGGCTTGATTCCGGTTGGTGTTGCTGAACCTGCAAGTCTCGCATCTGCTGTATAGTCAATTCCATTTCGGTTTTGAACTCAGCTCTAATTTCTTCGCGTTGTTTAGCCAACGCCTCCTGCAGGATATGAGCCAGTTGATCCGGCGTGATTGCAAATGATTGTCTGACTTGCCCAACACTGGACGCGGTATCGTCCGATGCAATGGCGGAACAAGTATCTGACATTTCTTCATCTGAAGAGAGCCCCTCGTGCATTCTCTTGTAATCTCGACGTAGGTTGGCTCTTCTTTGTAGCCGCGACATTCTTTGAGAAAGACCCCGCTCAACTCTCCCTCCCGGAGAGAAATCAGGGTCGTAGTTAACTGACTTTTGCTTTCCTTTATTGGTCATGTTGATAGTGACCTCAGGGAACTCATCTTGTCGGATTACAGGTTTCTTTTTGTTGAAACGTCTTGTTTTGGGTCTTGACGCTTCATTGGACAATCTTTGAAATACAGAGACTCTTGTTGAATTATTCTTAGAGCATCCGCATTCTGTCAACACTGCTTTAATATTATTTTTTGAGCAACCGCATTCCGTCAGCACTGCCTTGATGAGTCTCTCGCATGCGCAATGAGACTCATCTTCTCGGACAATCCTCTTTCTTGAGTTGTTTTTCTGATAGTATAGCTCATCATTATTGTGATTCGAGCAACCTATCTTTTGCCTTTGAACTTTGTTAACATGCACAGGACGACTGGTCGTCGCCTCTGGGCGATCCAAAGTTAAATTTTTAAATCCACCCCTTTGCGGGAGTGGGGTTTTCATAGGTCCTAAACGAGAGTGGACTGATATTCTCTCGTTCTGGACTTGTGCAATTCTGACAGGAGGGTGTTTACGACCCCCTGTATATGAAACCACTACGGGTTTATTTACAGGATCTAACAGTTCTTTAACTGGGGCTTTGCCTCGATCGTCAGCCGAAGGACCGAGGCGATCCGCCATGGTGATCTTAAACTTAGACAAATCTGGGCTAACCCAGGGTTTCACTGATGATGCAGTAGACGGGCCCGGAACAGATGCTTGCGGCGTCTTCGGCATCCAAACTCTACGGTTCTTCGGTGGCTTTTCAGACACCGTCTCCTTCTTGATTTCTTGTGCTTGTTGACGAAGAGCGCGAGCACGAGTGGCCTTCGCCTTACGCCTTTGTATCCGTTCCTTAAGGGTTGAACGGGCCCTTTTGACGAGAGTCCACTCCTCCGTCGTAAGTTGTGCAGAAATATAATTATCTTGTCGTTGAGGCAACTGAATCATTTTCTGCCTCCTCGACTCTAGGTCCGCATAGTAATGGACCCCGTCGGTTTGTTGCATGGCCTTAGACAATTGTCGAGCACGGCGCTGGCGCTGTCTCTGACGAGCTCTCTTCGTCAACACCGATGAGCTATTGATCAACGACTCCGTAACGGGTGTAGAGTCGTTTTGAGCAGGGATGTTGCAAGGAGATTCCTTAGCAGCAGTCGGGCAGGAATCTTCGCCTGCGGTCTCCGTTGGAATTGCAGACTTGAAAGTTTTCTTGAAAGGTGAAATCTTCCTATATTTGCGAGACGAGGAAGATTTTGCATATGAGGATGATAAATATTCCTCAAACTTTGCTTGATCGAATTCATATTCGATCTCTTCATTGACAACGATCTTGATCGGTTGCGACACCGCGGCCTCGGCAGCGAGGCCG